CAAATAACACCAAAAAACGTCATAGTATACTGTAGATGGGACATAAAAACGGTCAAAAGACCATGCGATAGGTAGTAGTTGAAGGGCAAAGAAGGTCATATAAACGGCGTCGTAGTATAGGCAAGGCATGGGTATGGAATGAGATAAGGGCGCATAAGATATCATACACTTAAAAACATCAAATAGTATAATCTGAGCAGTTGAAGCCAAAAAGCGTCATATGTATAGTATGTGTATGTCAAAAAAGGTCGATCATACGGTATATTAACGCATTGAAAAGGTGCATATAAACGCCATATCTATGGCGTAAGCATGAGACAAAATTCAATATAATAAGGCATAATACATGACACACACAAACATCAAAACCGACGTGTATGATGTAGTCGTGAGTCACAAACATGCCAAAAAACGTCGATAGTCATAAGTATGGGGCATGAAAACGTCAAAAAACCATCACAGTTATATTTAAAGCCATAAAAGGGTCATATAGAAACGGTCGTAGTAAATGCCAAGGCATGGGATGGAATAACATATTAAGACATAAAGTAATGCTAAAAAAAGCATGCAAAGTCTACTATTGGCAATTAGTAAATGCCAAAAAGACGTCATATTGTTAAGTGGCATATAAAGATTCAGAAAAATATGCATAGTATGACTATAAGATGCATGGTCAAAAAACCATCATAGTATATTAAGGCATAAAAGGTCATATAAACGTCGTAGTATGGCAAGGCATGGGTAGGAATGACATAATAAAGCATAAATATGCTTAAAAACATCAAAGTATACTATGGCATGAAAATGCCAAAAAGCGTCATAGTATAGTATGATGTAAAATGTCAAAAAATCATCATAGTATATTAACGCATGAAAGGTCATATAAACGCCATACTATGGCGAAGCATGAGACAAAATTATATAATAAGGCATAATAATGACAAAAAACATCAAAATATAGTATGGCACAAAAATGCCAAAAAACGTCATAGTATAGTATGGCATAAAACGTCAAAAAACCATCA